AATGCATGTGTTTTGTGGTATGTACATTTGAGAGTGAAGAGAAAGAGTCAGTCTGTTGTTTTGATTAGTTAGGCTGGATATGTTACTATTAGAACAGTTCATTCATCATTTAATTTGTAACTACTTAGTTTAGAAAATCTAGTTAATATTTCAAAGAAACCTAACATCATTATTTTCCCTGTAGACTGGAATACTTGAGACCCTGTCTGTTATTTTGATTGTAACATATCAAGTGTTTTTAAATAGCTACAAGTATGACACACGTGTAAACAGGGTAATCATGACAAGAAAACAAAGACATCAGTTGTAGAAATAAGAAAATCAGTACTTATAATTGCAGCCAACAAACACATTTTTTTGATAAAATGATTGCTACAATCAAACATGTAAAATAATATGTAAGATAAGTAAGGAATAAATTATTAGGCTATAAACAAACAAAATGTACAAGTGATGTTAAAAATAAAATTTCTTGTAATGTAAGAGTATGTTGTTTTTTTTCTGAACCTTTACAAGGCATTTTCTGATAAATCCAGTGTTGAAGCGGTGACGCCTCCACGCTACACAGAATGTCAGGCATCACTGCCGTCACACAGGCTGCACGACACTTGGACCTGGGGGGTGCACGTCCTGGGGGCCCTCTGGAGGTTGATAGGCACAGCGAGCGGGGGCGGAGCCTCAGCAGGTTCCACTTTTACTTCTGCGGTTGCTGGTTCTGTGGGGGAAGTCGCCCGCGCTGCGACTGCGACCGCGACCGCGACCGGTTGGTGCGCACCTAAATTGTCATAGAAACAAATTTAACAGCGAAATTTTTATAAATACAAAATTTTTAGCGATCAAGTTTACACTCCGAGCCCACCTCTTTGAGCTGCGTCCTCGCGGCCACGAGCAGGCACAGGGCCGCGGCCAGGGGGTCGCCGTCCTCCCCGCCCTGCAGCGTCCCCGTCAGCTCCCGCTCCTCTCCTCGCAGCGTCAGCTCCCAGTCCCGCTGCAGCAGGCTGAGGGCCTGCAGGGCCTGCTCCCCGCTGCACTGGTCCTGGACGCCCGGTGGCAGCACGCCCTCCAGCCGGCGCGTCAGAGCCTCCTTGACGTGGAACTCCACGATGTTCATATACGCGAAGTTCTTCACGAGCGGGAAATTGAATTTCTGCAGGACAGAACGGGGGTGAAATGCAGTGTTCGGGAAAGGTGGTGTAGGACATCTCCGCCCCCGTGCTGAACCCACCTGGCGGCACTCCGAGCACCTTCTGTTGGCCAGCTGCTGCAGACACCGGAGGCCCGCCGTGTGCCCGCACGGCATCACATGAGGCGCGTGCTCGCCGTAGTCGTAGCTCGAGGCGCAGAGCTGGCACTGCAGCACCTGCTGCAGGGCGGCATCCATGGCGAGCTGCTGTGGCAAGGACAGGGGCAAACATGCAGCAGTCAAGAAGTCTCTTTTCACCCCTTTTTAGGTGAGTGTGAGGAGGGCGCGGGGCGGGGAGGTCACGTCACGCTAGCAGCCTATTGCCTACCCACACCCTACATGCGTTTATCAAGGGCGTTGGGGGGGGGGGGTGAGCACGCAAGGACAAGCTGGGCTGCATCAGCTTAAGCGGGAAGCAGTGGGGAAGCAGACAGCAAACAGCAGACAGCAGATAGTAAATACCGGCGGTTTTACCAATTTTCATCAATATTTCAGTATGAAATCTTTTGTTGGTCTCTCATATTTATCTTCCGAACTTAAAAATTATAAATATGTGCTCAAATTAGGTCAAATCGGGAGGTGCTGTCGGAGCTGTCGGAACAGCACGACAGCACGACAGCCAACAGCATCTCCCGATTTACACTAGATTTCTATGCATATTTATATTTTTGAAGTTCAGAAAATAATATTTGAATGATAAAAATAAGATTTCATAACGAAATTGGACGTATAATTTTGAAATCATAGGTATTTACTATCTGCTGTATGCTGTTGCTGTCTGCTTCCCGACTGCTTCCCGCTTAAGCTGATGCAGCCCAAGAGTCGAACCTACGACACGGAGAGCCGAATCGACCAGCGGTCCAGCATGCAACTTTCTGAGCCACCAGACCACACTCCAGACCCGCGCTCGAACACCAGTATATGAGTCACAGGTTTGCAGGCCAGCCCATTGGCTGGGCGCGCGGCCCTGCGCCCCGGTCGGCCCGAGAAAGCAC